TCCCCTGTCAAGTTTAGAATTTCTAAAGGACTCGGCCTTGTTTTACGCATTAAATTAACTGATTTACGAAAGGGCAGCTGGCTTCAAGCTTGACTCAAGCCACTTGCTGCATGTCTCAAGGGGGGAAATTCCAAATTGTGAGGCGAAAGTGAGGAATTTCACAAAACCCTAACCATACACAAACATCAATTGACCTTCCCATAAACTGGACAGTTACAATGGATTGCTCTACTAGTGCAACAAAATATTATTCCCCCCCCCAATTGTTTAACAACTTTGTGGCCCCTGCTTGTGGTCTTGAGTCTGTGTCTGGGAGCAACTACTCCTCTGTAAGATATTGTACACAGCTCACAACTTTCTTTTTAAGAGAAAATGTATATAAATATAGTGAATCACGGCCCTTTTTAAGGAAATTACTAATATAAGTTGTCTACAGAGATCGAGGAAAACTACAGAACCCACTTGGATTAGTCAGCATCTGCTAAGATTTATATCAAGTGCCTGCTAAATGTTTTGGCACTGACTTCTGACTGATTATATTAGTATTGTATTGTATTTTATTTTCATCCATTTTGCTACATAGTAACACTTGGACAAGTCATTCGGCAATACAAGTTAACAAAACAAATCTACAAAGTTACAAGCATACTACCAACGTTAGTATTTGCTGTAACTGTGACTATATGAGTAAACATGTAGATTATGATGTTAATTTTAAGGTACATAATGATACATATGTGGAAATATAATATCAAACAACTAGACCAGTAAAAGAGAAGTTCAAACTAAGGAATTGCAAACATGCCTAACTTTATTCAGGAACTCTCCAGTTCAAACCTCAGTTAGGAAAGCAGCTGTCCTCACTGAAGTTCTATAATTTTTACATGTCCTTTCAGGTGAACATCATAATAGTAAATACACCTTGAAAAAATTTAAATAAGCCTCTTCATCAGGGCTCTTCACTGCACTACACATAAACATCCTCTAATTTCGTTTATACTAAGTAATCTGTACTGCTGATAGAGAGTTTTAAAATAGCATATAAAATATGACATACACATAGGAAATTGAGATGGTTTATACATATTATTAGAATAAAACCATTTTTATCACTAATGAACACATTTCTCTTTTTTATGATTTTTTTAGAGCAATGAGAAAGTAACCTTAGTTGTTGCTCGGAAACGGTTGAACCGCAACTTACAAAGCAGAGATGGCAGTGCACTTCCAGTTTGTCATGGAAGAACTAAATCAGCTCCAGAAGCCCTTGGAAGTAGTGTGCAACCATCAGTAGCACTTGTTAGTGGAGGTATGCAAACACAACAGACAGAATCCATCAACAATTCAAACATAGATCCCATGTTACATTCATCGCTATCACAGTCGCAGACTTGGCAAGCAAAACTACAACAGATTTCTCCAGACAGGAACTTGAACAATGTTACAAAAGCCTTGTGCTATGAACGAAGTCACAGTCATTCTTGTGATTCCTTGCAAAATGTAGAAGCCAAACCATGTCAGCAAATGCCATCACCACCATGCACAAGAAATGTGCCACTGCCTGTCATCAGGAGATCATCTAAAGAAGTGGCTGTTGAAGATCTGGCTCTCACCATCAACAGGAATCTACAGATTGAGGGTATCCAGTTGCAACACAAATGTGTAACAATCAATAAGGTAATATATTACATTTTTTAAATTTGTTTTCATTGGTGATAAATTGGATTCATCCTCTGATACACCAACTTCTGCATTTCTTCAGATCATATAGAGTTATCTTCCAGACCCAATGACTAAATTACCACCACCACCACCAACTACAGTGCTGTTGTTCTATATTAGTAAAAACAAGTTCTGTAACATAATTTGACACAGAACACAAATGTGCACAATTTTTCACTCTTCAGTGCTGTCTTGATAGTGAAGCAAGATGAAGCAGATGTCTCCATAGCTTGCAGAAGTGTGCATTTACTTCTGTGGGGTAAATGAATTCACACATAAGCATGTAAACACTGTAGATATCAAATTTAGGTACCAGAGTCTTACGTATGGCAATAGGTGCCAGAAGTAATGTGTTATTCATTTGCTGGAGTAGAATATAGGATTTAATCAGTTATATTGCTTATCCAGTTTTTAAGTCAACTTAAGACATCTATATTTTGATGAATTTCTATAGGAGGTGCAACATGATGCAGAATACGTTATGTAGGGTTTGTATCAGGATGCCCATAATATGGTTTCACCCTTCATGAATGGCTTGTGGTTGTTTTATTGGGACCTTTTACAAAAATAATCTTATAAAATGCTTTTGTACCATGCTGGAAGAACAACTTTTTCTCTTCATTTGAAGGCCCAAGTGACTCTTTGTTTCATTAATCACTGAAAGGCTATGAGGCCAGAGAAGTCGTAATACTCATTTCGTGCAATATTCTTTATAATATTGTGGTATATAAAGCCACTGCTTGATGAAATGTGATAAAATCTTATTTTGCCACGTAGATGCATTGGGTGAGTTCGGCATTCCCCACGTCTGCATAAGTATAGAAAGAGTGTCATTCTTCGTTACTTGTCTTTTGACTCTCAATAGTCAAAGGAGTTACTGGTGAGAATGATCTAATCTTCTATTATGTGTCTAAAATATCTCTGAGGGTATGTCATACACTGAGTGTGTAACTTTAGAGAAGAAATGTCCTGTGCTTAATAAGATTTCCACTATGTTGATTTTGATTCAAACTATATACTGAAAATAGAATCTAGTAACTTTCTAATTATGATGTGATGAGACATGTAAATATCTGATGATGACACACTGACAGTGTTTTAGACATAGCATAGGAATTGTTATTTAAAGCTTCTGATTGTTTTTAATAAGTTGAGTTACTGGTGGAAAGCATATCGTAATATTTCAGCTTAAATGAAGAAAATACTTCAATAATACTTTCATGCACAATAGGGTGACAGTATATTCCATTTTAATTGAATCATTCAACCTATTTTCATGAAACATTATTGTTCTCCAGCATCTAAAATTGCAAGAATACTGTATTTACTGAAATATCATGTACCTCAAAATTACAGTTAACAAAAGCCCTCTGGTATCCAGCATATGGATCTCTGACACAACTCAACAGTTCTGAACTTGAATATTATGTGTTTTATCAGTAACTACTATTGCAAAATATAAGTCTTAGGCAAGTAATTATTATTATTATTGAATTTCTACAATAAAATCATTACAATAATAGAAAGTCTATAAAAAGGGTATATTTTGATGCCTCACTAGCATTATTTAGAACTGATGTGCAGCTGTCTCATTTTATGTTGTCTTCGATATTAGGTTTCCCTACCTGTGATGAAAAGTATTCTATTACAGTAGTTTTATTCATTCATATTTAGTATGAGGAGGAAGATGGTTACTTGGACAGGACATTAGAAAATGCTTAGGAAAAACAAATATAACTTTCTGTGAGCATATATTAATATAGAATTATATGTTTCAGGAACCAAATGAAAGTCTGGGAATGCGAATTGGAGGTGGTCTAGGAAGTAATGAAGGGGACATCCCTATCTACATTGCAAACATTCATCCACAAGGCTGTGTTGGAAAGACACAACAAATATTGGTAAGTTAATCCAGAGATCTGTTCTATGTGCAACAGATAATGCTACTGAGGGGTGGATAAAAGAGATACAGCTTACAAAAGAATATCAGATCATAACTAGATTATCTCTCTTTCTGCATATCTTCTGGCTGTATTAAGTTTTACTTTCCTGAGTTTTGCAGTGTACCAGTTAATCTTTCCACATCTTCCATCATACATTGCATGTCTTCTAAAAATGCTTTGCATTTGTCTGCTAAGAATTATTAAAGGAGGGACTTGGTAGTTAATTCACAAATCATTACCTTACCTTGGCATTTAAGTCACATTTCATTAAAAACTCTTAGGTCTAGTAGTTCACACGCATTCCAAAATCTTTCAAAAGTAACAACCCATTAATAATATTTCTGATGCATTGTAACTTTATGGTGCCTGCATGTATAAAGATGTGATCATTATTATTATTATTTCATGTTTAAACCCTTCTATATCCATCAGTAACAGATGCAAGAATCTACCACAAACCCATTTACTCTAATGTTTAAAAAGTACGCGTATCCCTACATTTCAACATAATCATGTAGGTTTCCATAAAATATTACCCCTTGCTGTGAGCAGTCTGACCTTACATGATCCTTATTAAAAATATATTTGAAAATAATTATAAACACAGCCTTCCTACTTTGAGTGAGTGTGCAGGAAATAACAAATTGTCTCAAAATATATACATGTCATTTTAGGGCAATATGACAAAAGCACACAAGTGCATCATACAAGTTCCCATCAATTTTCAGTCCTAGGATAAATACATTTGGTAATGGAAGTTTAAAGAAGTTAAATTAAGGAATGAAGATGTACTGTTAGTCTATTCACAGTCATCTCCATTTATCAGCTATGAAACAGTTTGTTCATGTTTGTTTCAAGGTCAGTAATCATGACCAACTTGATGTACTTGCAGAAAGGAGATATTTTGCTGAGTGTGAATGGTACCAGCCTCATGGGCTTAACACACACCCAGGCTGTTGCAACACTTAAGGCTACTGTAGAGAATACCCATGTTTCACTGGGGGTTCTGGAGGGCCCAGAGACATCTCTTGGATCTTACAACTTTATTCCTTCATGGCTTTATTGGCAGAAATTACCAAGGTAAGCATCACCTCTTCAGCAATAATTGTTTTAAGAAAATCTGAAAACATTATTATACTCAGTACATTCATTCATCAGGATCCAGGACAATGCAGTTGATATAGCAACTGGCACTTACTGCAGTAGAAACTTAACTAAAAGAACATACCATTTTAGAGTATAATATCCATGACAACAAAGAAGCAGCCACATTACAGCTGGCAAAGTTATGAGCCACTACTGCCCTCCATTTCCCCTCTCTAGTCAACAAGGTAATAGTGTGAGGAACTTCGCCATCTCACTGAAACAGCCAACTGGTATGGTGTGAACATCTAGAGAAAGAGTGAGATAGTCTCAGGTTCCATCCTATGCAACATGACAAAGTTTTTCACTGAAAAGTGTAGCTTCTAAAAATTAACACAGCCCAATGATTTTCTCAAGGACAGAACAATATATAAGAAATAGTAAGTTCCAGAAACAGTTTATAATGCTTACTTCCCTTTCATGAAAACCTCAACTATAACAAAAAGCAATCTATTTGAATACACAGTTTACCATACATTTCCACTACCTGAAAGGTGGAGACATGACCTCACAAAATTTCACAAATAATATATTTGTAAATTTTAATGCAAAATAATTGTATTCCATACAAAATGTTATATGCTTTGTGGGAGCATCCCACATTATCACGCATTTTCTCCAACGCACACTCTTCACATCACTTTTCACCATCATGCGCGCTAACCAATCAAATTGCTCCAAACGTTCGCATTTATACTGTGCTCGCTGCTAGCTCCGCATCTACATCATCACGCGCGCTAGCCAATCAGCGCCCTGCAAATTCTTCCTCCTCAATTTCAAGTTTCGCTCCATCCACCGAGCAGTGTATAAAAAGGGGCAGCCGCAAACCGGCAGCATCAGTCTGACTTCAGTCTACGATCAAGCCACACTCAAGCAACATCAGCCAGCAGGCTTCGTCGCCAGCGCTCGGTCTTCGGAGGCATCGGCAGGCTGCGCCAGGCATGACTGCCTTGGCCCTCAGGCTCTCACACCCGACTCACTGGGCATCTGGCGTAGCCACTGCCTCATCACCCCTACGACCGCACTGCGCAACCACGCAACTTCAACTCACCTGCCGCACGACGATCAAGCAACCACCAGCAACGGCCGCGCTGTGGCCAGTCAAATCACCGCAACTAACCTCTCTCCCTACCAGCGCGCACCGCGTTACCTCACCAGTCAAGCATCTCAGCAACCACGGTCCTTTTCAGGACCAACAAACTTTTCCGAAGAAGTGGGTTGTCATCGGAGTAATGACGAACAACAAAGGCAAAACCCCACAGCTTCATTAAGTGCCTGTGTTGTATACCTGGGTAAATACTATACTAAATAATCATAGACAAAATTTATTCGTACTATATGCCATAAATATCATAAAAGAAAGACTGTACTATACTGGACTGGAAAATCATTTCAAGTAATAGCAAGAATATTCTGATGCTTTCTGTTTATCTCAGACATGTCCATTGATTTATGTCACCCTCTGTGACAAATTTTTTGGAACACAACTGTCATGTGAGTTTAGAAGTACCTGTATTAGTATTAAGAAGGTGTTTATATCCCTGGAATTATACCCATTAAAATATTATAATAAAAAGTATCTGAAAGAAAATGCAGTTGTTGAATTCTGTAATTATATATATTCTAAAAATGTTTTAAATTAATTATATAAATTCCTGAAATAAAACAAAATGCTGTGTATGTAAATTCTATTATACAGCATGTAGATCTGTGGAAAAGTTTTCCTCCCCATACTGTAAGAGAACTGTAATTTCAAAGTTTACCTTTGTATAGTAAATATGAAAACTTGTGTCCACATTTTACACACTGAGCATGATCCTATAGCTGGCCACTCATCAGGGTCTCAAATTTCAAGGCAGGTTTTTAACTGGCTTATGGGTTACGTCTTTCTCTTGTAGTGGATTGAGTATGAGCTTGTTGATTCATTTCCAACAAATTTTTGTTAGTTGATTTTGCTACCATTGGATGCTAGAATAATGTAATTATCTGTTTATTTATTTCTAGACTTGTCAAAATGTCATAGTATATAGCATTAATTACATGATTAGTGAATAATAAATTAGAAAGCACTTGGAAAGAAGTGGCTGTAACTTAAATTCAAACATTATCCCAGAATTTGCCTGGTAGGACTGACCAAAACCACGAAAACCTCACCTGAGATAGCTATTCTCCAAGCCAAGATTTGAAATGAGATCTTCTGAGTATGTAGACTACATAATCAACTGTGATGTTCAGTGACATAGATCCAACAGGTGAAAAATAATTTTGCTTATCTGCTTCCATATTCTCCACCTAACTAATATCTATGCCATTATGGTTTTGAGTGTCCCATGTTTATCACACAAGCTACCTCCTCTTGGCAGTTTATGTATATTCATCAATACACATATATGTGACCCAATTTTGTTTCAGTATCACAATGTTAAACCCCCCCCCCCCCTACCATCCCTTTATGACTGTCTCACAGTTCTGCTCAAGTTTATAGCACCTGTGTGCTGGTCATCAAATAAATACAGTGAGAAGAGGAAACCACACACATAAAGTATGTGGCCTTCCCCATCTACTTTGCTCATTAATTCTTACTATCATATGTGTAGCTGTCATTGTGTTAGACACAACCTGTCCTTCCCCAAGTATATGGTAACATCATAAGTACAGTCTGTCATGTCATATGGGTAATACAAACACTGCAAACATTTTTATTTATTTCAGTCAGTTTCCCACTTACATAAGACCTGGTGGTCAGTGTCTTGTGTTCAAAATGTCTGATGGTGGTAGCCCCTCTCTCTTCCCATCCTCCTCCCCTTACACATCAACTATGAACACATAGAAAGGCTTTTATTTATTTTTGCCACTGTCTCAGCTGATGGGACCTTGAATTAGTATGAATAATATATTGATAGAAACATCACATGGACAGAACGTGGTGAGGATCTGCTAGGGCCAATGTTGACAAAGAACTTACAGTAGGAATGCACATCAGAAGTCCAAATACAGGAGGGAGAATATTAAAATGTCACAGCTGATGTATGCTGCCTCTAAATAAAGGGGTATTTTAACTTTGCAATATCGCATCTTGCAGTCAGCTGTACTAAGGTACACTGTCATAACATATAACATACATGGCCAATACAATAATACACGTATTATGAAACTTAAGACAATTCTATTTGTTTTATTTTTAATTCTATTTTGCTGTTTGATTCTTGCTCACTACTATTTATATTCTCCTACTTGTTTCAGTTGTTCTCTGTGTAATTTTGTATTATGCTTCTGTTTGTTTAATGACCGTATAATATTTAGATTTATTGCCCTGCAGGTGCCTTCAGTTTCCCAAAACGGTGATTTTGCATCGAAGTCCTGGGGCAAGTCTTGGCTTCAGCATTGTGGGTGGAGAGGATCCAGTTAGAGGACCAGAAGCCATTCATATTCTGTTTGTTGTGCAAGATTCACCAGCAGCTAAGCATGGAAAACTCAGGTACAGTTGCCTGCATATTAACCATTCAACACATAAACAAAGAAACAGAAATTTGAGAAAACATTACCGTTACTCTCATGATGAGTAATAGCTCTGAGTTCCAAGTACCATATTATGACATAAAATTACCTTTGCAATAAGTCTGTCCACAGAAATACCTGTTTTTGAATTTCTTCCTCCATGTTGCCCAGCGCCTTTACTGTGGGATTTTTTTCTGCTGCTTGTGCAAGATATGGGCATTCAGCATTGCAACAAAGAACTGAAAGAAAACTTCTTTCCATTATTCTATTATCACTGGAAGGTAAAATATACCAGCATTCTGTCACATGTCTTATGTCAGTTTTGTTTACTCTAACCCTTTATTGTAATGATTTTCTTCTTCTTTTGATGTTTTCCCTCTTATAACATTCCCTAACAGTTTCATCATCACCAGCTGTATCTCATATGTAAACATTCAGCAAATCCTTCCACTTTGTGACTTATAGGTGAGTGAATTATCGTGGAATTCTTTAAATGTTTTTCAGCTGAGCCAGAAATACTTAATTTTGCAGTTCTTTTTTAAGCAGAATTACTGTGATTACAGACCTTTTATTACGTGACTAAAGATGGTCAAAAGGTATAGTGGGATAATATCATGGTATTTCTCCTATTATTTACTTTCTCACAGCCTGTAGTGTATCATCATCATCAGTAATCTGTCAAGACGACAGGTCCACAGTCTCTTTCAAAACAATTCCTCCACTTAATGCGATCTAGAGCTTTCTCCTTCAAATGACAGTATCCTCTTCTGTCCCCAAGGTCATCCAGCATCTTCTTACGTCTTCTTCCTCGTCTTCTTGTCACTTCTATCCGCCCATCTATCTTTCCTTCGATAGCTTCTTTTAGAAGGCAGTTTCTGCGTAAAACATGACCAATCCAATTAGCCTTCCGTTTTCTTATTTCATGTAGGATATTCCTCTGCTCACTGACTCTAATTAACACTTCTTCATTTCTCACATAATCGGTCCAACTGATCTTCTCCATTCTTCTCCAACACCACATTTCGAAACTTTCCAGATGTTTCTGATCTACTGCCCTAAGTGTCCATGTTTCAGCCCCATACAGAGCTATGCTCCAAATGTAGCATTTCACTAGTTTCTTCCTCAAATTTAAGTCCAATTTGCTGGTAAAAAGATTCTTCTTCTTGCTAAATGCAGCTTTTGCCATGGCAATCCTGGATTTAATTTCACAAGTACACCTTCCATCATCTGTTAACAAGCTACCCAAATATTTAAAACATTTCACATTCTCCACTTGTTTTTGGTCTATCTTTATTGTGACTGGGGTTGGTTGTCTCGAAATTTTCATTACTTTTGTTTTCTCCACATTCATTTCCATGCCATAGCACCTTCCAATTTCAATTAGTCTATCAATCATGCCCTGTAGCACAGTTTCTTCCTTAGCCATTAACACAAGGTCATCTGCATATTTCACAGTTTGAATAATTTGCCCTCCTACTTTGAAGTCACCGAGCCCATCCAGAGCTTCCTTGGTAAGGCATTCGCTGTACAAGTTGAACAGAATTGGTGATAAACAGCATCCTTGTCGAACTCCTCTTCCAATCTGCACACTTCCTGTCTCCCCCCTGTCCAGTCGTACTCTAACTTTCTGATCCATGTACAATTTGCTAATCAATCTTCTTTCATGCCAATCGATACCTGTTTCTTTCAGGATCTGCATTAATTTGGTCCAGTTTACCCGGTCAAATGCCTTCTGCCAGTCTATGAAGCAAACACACAGTTCTTCATCTATCTCCAAAGTTCGTTCCGCTATAATTCTCATCATCCCAATTGCATCCCTGGTTCCTTTTCCTCTTCTAAATCCAAACTGATCTTCTCCAAGTACATCCTCTATTTTCCTTTCAATTCTTCTTTTAAGTATCTTTGCTATTATCTTTGCTGTATGTGCAATAAGACTTATTGTGCGATGGTCGCTGCATTTTGTAGCTTTTGTCTTTTTCTTTAAGGCAATCATTGTAACTTCTGTAAAGTCCTTGGGCCACTCTCCACTTTCATATATGGTGTTCATTAGTTTTGTCAGTGTTTTCAAACCACCTTCTCCCAGTAACTTGAGCACATCTCCAGGTACATCATCATCTCCTGTAGCCTTTCCCTTCCTCATTTCCTTGATAGCTTTTTCCACCTCACTTTGTAAAATATATGGTCCTTTCTCGTCTGTATCTACTTCTTCTTCCGGTTCAACTTCTAAGGTTTCTGGCCGATTAGGTCGATCATATAGTTCTGAAATATAATTTTCCCAAATTTTCAGCACTTGCCTCTGATCTACTATTCTATTCCCCTGGGAGTCTTCGATGCCAACATTTTGAATCCCATGATTCTCTTTCCATCCTAGTTCTTTTGTCTTCATGTACATCAAATCATAACGGCCTGTTCTTTGAAATTCCATAATCTCATTACATATCTTCTCAAGATATTCCTTTTTGGCCCTGTCCGTGGCTCTTTTCAATTCATTCCTCAGTCTCCTGTATTTCCTCCTGCCTTCTTCATTGTTGACATTCTTCCATTTCCTTCGCTCCTCCATTTTACTCATCATCTCCTGTGTAACCCATGGTTTTCTTGCTATCTTCTCAACTTTACCTACCAAATCACTGATAGTATCTAACATGCATTCTTTTATATCGTTCCACTGCGCTTCAGCATTTCCGCTTTCACCTTCAATTGCACCGAGTTTCTCTTCTAGAGTCTCTTGCACGCTTTGTCTTTGAGCATATAACTTCTCCAAATCCCATCTGGGTCTGCGCTTTCGAAATCCTATAATTTTCTTCAACCTGGTTCGGAACTTGGCAACCAGCAAGTTGTGGTCAGAGTCAATGTCTGCCCCAGGAAGCGTCTTCACATCCTTCACACTGTTTCTGAATCGATGTTTCACAAGGATGTAGTCCAGCTGATGCCTCTTCCAATCCCCAGGTGCCTTCCATGTGTAAATTCTTCTCTTTGGCTTCTTGAACCAAGTGTTGGTAACAATCAATCCATTTCGTTCACAAAAGTCAATAAGCATTTGACCTCTGTGATTCCGTCTTCCTAGTCCATGTGATCCAACAATATTCTGATATGGTTCATCTCCAACCATGCTGTTCCAGTCTCCCAATATGATGCTGTTTGTGTCTCCTCTTCCATCTTCCTGAAGAATTTCTTCAATTGTGTCATACACTTTTTCCACTTCATGCCAGCATATAATTCACCATTGTAAAGATATGAGGAGCAGGGATTGTTCAACTAGTGTAATACAAATAGGCTACCAGCTGGACAGCCAGGATTCGAACCCTGGCATAGGCAAGAGATTTTCCTCTTCTCAATAACATACAGACCAGCTCTGGAGCCCAGCCGGCCTCCTATCCAGTGGGTAATGAGGGCTCTTTCCATGGGGTGAAGCAGCTGGTGCATGAAACTGACCACACCCTCATCTAGTTCCAAGGTCAAGAATGATGAAGTTATATGCCCTCCCATCCATACATCTTCATGGCATGATGCTTAAATAATTAGTTAAGCACATGGATGACTTTACATTACCTTTTCCTTATAGTATAGATATTGACTTCTGACTCTTGAAATTTTCACGGCAGCGACTATGAAGCATACTACTTTCTGGGACGTTATTCCATGTAATCTGATGTAAGTATACTTATGTATCAGAGCAACATACTGCCTCAGTCTTCAGGGTCAAAGAATAAGCCAAGAAAACAGCAAATACAGACTGCTTGCTGCTTGGCTTACTCATTGACCTGAAGACGGACAAAGCATATTTCCCCAAAATGCTGATAAACTTCTGCCAGATTACATGACATAATATCCCTAATGATAGTACTCTTTATATTGACTTTTGTTCTCTCAGATTTAGAAAATGTTCACACCATTTTTATATGGCTTTCCTTTCCTAGAGACACAGTAGAATACATTGTGGAATATAGACCCTATTGCTAAGCAGTGATGGTAAACAATGTCACTAGGCAGCTGATTCTTAATAATGCAACAGTTTGACTATAACAGTGGCAGAGTTGTGTTTTCTGTGTGGTCCATACTGAGAAGTTATAACCAGAAGGTTTGGAGCTATAAGACTCAGGGGGTCTATTTCTCTCATGGTCGTCGACTGCCTGAGTCTTGTCTCACTCTCATCATCATCAGTAATCTGTCAGACGACAGGTCCACAGTCTCTTCCAAAACAATTCCTCCACTTATTGCGATCTAGAGCTTTCTCCTTCAAATGACAGTATCCTCTTCTGTCCCCAAGGTCATCCAGCATCTTCTTACGTCTTCTTCCTCGTCTTCTTGTCACTTATATCCGCCCCTCTATCTTTCCTTCAATAACTTCTATTAGAAGGCAGTTTCTGCGTAAAACATGACCAATCCAATTAGCCTTCTGTTTTCTTATTTCCTATAGGATATTCCTCTGCTCACTGACTCTAATTAACATTTCTTCATTTCTCACATAATCGGTCCAACTGATCTTCTCCATCCTTCTCCAACACCACATTTCAAAACCTTCCAGATGTTTCTGATCTACTGCCCTAAGTGTCCATGTTTCAGCCTCATACAGAGCTATGCTCCAAATGTAGCATTTCACTAGTTTCTTCCTCAAATTTAAGTCCAATTTGCTGGTAAAAAGATTCTTCTTCTTGCTAAATGCAGCTTTTGCCATGGCAATCCTGGATTTAATTTCACTAGTACACCTTCCATCATCTGTTAACAAGCTACCCAAATATTTAAAACATTTCACATTCTCCAGTTGTTTTTGGTCTATCTTTATTGTGACTGGGGTTGGTTACCTCGAAATTTTCATTACTTTTGTTTTCTCCACATTCATTTCCATGCCATAGCACCTTCCAATTTCAATTAGTCTATCAATCATGCCCTGTAGCACAGTTTCTTCCTTAGCCATTAACACAAGGTCATCTGCATATTTCACAGTTTGAATAATTTGCCCTCCTACTTTGAAGTCACCGAGCCCATCCAGAGCTTCCTTGGTAAGGCATTCGCTGTACAAGTTGAACAGAATTGGTGATAAACAGCATCCTTGTCGAACTCCTCTTCCAATCTGCACACTTCCTGTCTCCCCTCTGTCCAGTCGTACTCTAACTTTCTGATCCATGTACAATTTGCTAATCAATCTTCTTTCACGCCAATCAATACCTGTTTCCTTTAGGATCTGCATTAATTTGGCCCAGTTTACACGGTCAAATGCCTTCTGCCAGTCTATGAATCAAACACACAGTTCTTCATCTATCTCCAAAGTTCGTTCTGCTATAATTCTTATCATCCCAATTGCATCCCTGGTTCCTTTTCCTCTTCTAAATCCAAACTGATCTTCTCCAAGTATATCCTCTATTTTCCTTTCAATTCTAGAGATCCTCAATCTCTAGTGTTTGTAGAACAGACAACCATTTTTTTGCACTCACATAAAACAAGTTTGTGAAACTTAAGAAGTTTTGAGGTAATGTTTTCATAGATAGGATTCAGCTTATGCTGTTAAGTATTGAGAGTAACGTCTCTGTATATTATTTAAAATTTAACAGTACCAGTAACAAAAACATATTATTAAATTACTGTTATATTATACATATTGTAACGTGTTTCGTTACTGAATACGCCGTAGAGATCGTTAATTGGTTTATTGAACAATCTACAAGTAACGGCTACAATTACTTATGACACAGTTGCGGGGTTTCACGATTTATAACCCTATGCACAAATCAGTTCACTCTGTGTTCAGTAGTCTACACATTTACAGTAGGGGAGCTATGTATCACTGTATCACACACTCCCAATTACACAATCACACATACGTCCGGTTCTTCTTTCCGCGACAGCTGCTATCCTCCACTGTAGTCGTCTGACTGGAGAACTGTTGATAACACAGTCGCTCGTATGCTCGCTCGGAACTAACTCGGAACTGTCTTCGGCGATGGCCACGTTACAACTAACTCGGCGACTGTCCCAGTACAAATGACTCGTAGCTGCTGTGCAGTTCCCTTATATAGCCGCAGTGGTGCCTGTTGCGTGCCACGTCACAGTAGGAAGCGGTTCCGCGTCGCCATGGCGTCACCGCGCGTTGCGTGTTGCATAACTACCAGGATGCGGGGACTCGGCTAACTTCGGCTCCGCTCGGCTCACTTCGGCTCCGCTCGTGACGTCACCGCGGGGAGAGTGGCGGGGTGATGACGCGCCTCTTACGCGAGCGCTACGTTACCGCTACGTGCCGCTGGGGAGGTAGGGGTCAACATGTCACAATATTAATAATAGCTCAGATACATTCACCCCCGAAATCTTCTTATAGACTGGTAATAAATCATGTAATATTGTGAAAATTGCTATTAACTGTCTTTGTTTCATGTCAGGTGTGGAGACAGACTACTGGCAGTGGATGGGCACAGTCTGGAAAATGTGAAACATTCAACAGCAGTAGCAATGTTGAAACAGACAGGGAGTAAAGTGACATTAGAAGTGGTGTCATGGCTTGGGACAGAGCTGTAAACATTTGTGAGCTCATGAAACAAACCTTTTGATCCTCACAGTTTTGGGCACAAAAACATTCTTTCATATGACTGTGAAGTGAGAAATTAAACAAAGATAAATAATCACACTGAACTTTTTTATGGTTTTCATGAGAAGGTATATGGTTTTAAAATTTTCGTTCTTAAAATTCCTCTAAGGAAATCTCCTGTGCCAATCTCCATTGTGGCAGTTTGTATGAAGTGCCGTTACCTGTGAGATTATGCCATGGTGGCCGTATTTGTTCTCCATAATATTCTTCAAATAAAAAGATTGAGTGTATATTTCATGAGAACGTTCATCATGTGCTTCCCAACTCCTGTTACAGTCTCATCACCGTCTGGGCCTACTAAGTAAGAATCACTTCCAATAGTTTACTTACTGATACACCTGAAGATGGCAGCATACTGCCGAAACATGTAGTGTAAAAGTGGTAGATGGGATTGTATGCACTTCAAGACTGTTAATATATACACATTATGAATAAGGGTAATTAATTGTATAAAGTTCTGTGGGACGCATGAACTTCCTCTTCGGGGACATGAAGAGCGCCAGAGTTCTTACAATCTCGGGATATTTTTGGATCTCATGTCGGAACTAGCGGCTTTAGATAGTATTCTAAGTGAACATTTAAATAGTACAACTGTGTCAAAAACAATTCAAAACGAATTACTGGACTGTATTTATTTGGCATACAAGGAAACGATCAAATAAGAAATTCAAAATGCTAAATATGTAGCTGTCCAGGCAGATGAAACCTCTGATGTGTCATGCATGTCCCAATTAGTTATTCTGCTACGGTATGTCAATAGCCCTGATCCTGTTGAAAGATTCATTTCCTTTGTTCGCATTCAGGATCGAACTTCAGAAGGTTTAGCATTAGTACTTAAACAAGAATTAGAACCATACAACCTTGAACAGAAACTAATTGCTCAATCCTATGATGGCGCTCCCGCGTTTTGTGGCAGGAACAGCGGGGTCCAGGTAAAGATAAGAGATACATTTCCTCATGCACATTTCATCCACTTTGGACATTAATAAGGGAGAACAATCTGGAAGCCGCTCTGTCAGAAATACACAAACTGACAGATATTGTACTTACAACTCCAATATCAACCGCCGAATCCGAGCGTTGTTTCAGCACTGTAAAAAGAGTTAAGACATATCTAAGGAACTCAATGGGTCAAGAACGTCTGAAGGCAATGGCTGTACTTAGCATTCATAAGGACATGATTACAGAGATCCCGGCATTCAACCAAAAAGTGATTGATTTGTTTGCTTCCCAGAAGAATAGACAAGCGCAGTTCCTGCATAAATGAGGTAACTTTTAAAGCATTATTTTAATTAGTGGCATGAATTGCAATGGAGCATGCTTAAATTTTCTAATACTGTTACGTGCAAAATATTTTTAAATGTTTTAAAGTAGGAGTTTGTACTACAACTAGCATCACTACCTACTACTACTACTACTATTAGTATTATTATATAACAATGTAAGAATGTATCACCGTCTCATATTAGCCCCACCATCTATTTGAGCCACGAGCCGCCACTGTGGAAGACGAAGGCAAATAGGTCTCATAACAGTGGCGGTCCTTTGGTAAGGCACTGGCGTCTGGTTTAGGAGATACGTGGTTTGAATACATGACTATTTTTGTGAGAAAATAATTTAAGAAATTTGTGCATGTAGGAAGCAAGTCGTACTGTATGAGGAAGGTGAAGGTAACAAATTTGTATAGTAAGCAAAAAGTATAGTAAAGTAAGCACCTGAAGATGGCATTATTATGCCGAAACATGTAGTGCGAGGGAGAGAAGGAGATAAATGAGTGTATGCACTGCAAGACGGTTTAAATAAATCATGGACCTAAATTTGTATAGATCTGGTGGTACATGGGTAACACAATGACGTAGTATTGGGAAGGTACCGGGTTCGAGACCACGACGTCTTTGTCAATAGAAATTGAAAAGTGAATAAATAAATACCATTTTTCTGCAGCTATAAACCAAGTCGCATAATATAAGGACGATCATAGAAAGTTATGACATTCATGTTCTGGTGGCCTAGAGGTAAGGCACAGGAGTTCTAAAGATAAGGTTCGTGGTTCGAAAACACGTATTTTTGTAATGAGATTTTTATGGAATTATATAGCGACATGTAACATAAGAAGAAGATTAGAGGTAAAAAATGTCCGTGACATTGGTGGCCTATTGGTAAAACACCGGCGTAGTGATGAAGGGTTGGAAGGTTCGAGACCAAGTATAGTTTTGTGATTTAGAAAGTAAGTTAAATTACTTTTCTGGAATTATAACCGAAGATGTACCTTAGGAGGAAGATTAAAGAAAATAAATTTCAGTGGTGCTGGTGGTCTAGAAGTGAAGACATCAGCTTAGTGTTCAGAAAGTCCCTGGTTCAAAACCAGTAGGATTTTTGTGAAAAAGAAAATGGAAAGAAGTCAGGAGATAGGGTGAAGGAAGAGGGAGGGAA